GTCTGTGATTTGCTGTAAGGTGGTAATGAACACACTGAATATTACTTTTCTTTAGAAGCTATTGAAACCTTAGGTAATTGATTGATCAGTATAGCATCCTTTTTAGTACTCCATTACTCTACCCTGTTGTGTTTCTGGCTTCACTCAGTCATTCATTTAGAAATTGGTCATTAAAAAAATCAGAGGCCTGAAAGCACAATTAAATACACTTTCAAGCACAGGCAAATGGCAGATGCATGCACAGTCCACTATACAAAAAGTCTACTTAGTGTTCAATAGGCTACCTGTAGTTGATGCAGAGTTTTTGTAGCACAGGCAATGGATGTCTGGCACGTACCAATGGGCAGAGGTTTTGGGCACAGGGCAGTTAATGCCTGAGTAGATCTGGCTGTTGTTTTCAGGATCAGATTTGAGTGTGAACAACTACTAAAAACTTCTTCTTTAAACAAGGGGGTTTCTGAAGCCTCCTGCTACATTTGCCATGATTCAGATATTGCAAGCTGTGAACCAGATTGTTCCACTCTTATGTAGGTCAAATAGTACCTTGCCTACGCAGTGGGGTTGTCTCTTGGAGTGTAGCTCAAGGTAAATATAAAATGCGTTGTCTGGTCTGCACAGTGCAGGGTAAGGACACATCATACACCCTGTCTGACCCGTGATCCAAACGTACTTGAAAAGTCTTGCTAACACTGTTTCTCAGTTTAGAAAGCTTACAGTGTCATGGGTTTTCTTCATTTTGCATATGATGCCTATGAATGTACACGGGAAAAGAATAAGTAAAAATTCCTGTCTGTGAAATCCTGGTTTTTGTCCAGTCTAGTAAAGAATTCCTCCTCTTGTCATAAAAATTACTATTTTTCTAGCTAGGCCATATTTATTACTTTTTGTAGCTTAACTGATTTCTGTAGTTAGAGCATCATTGTACAGTGGGTTGAAGCCACTTTTCTTCAGTCTAGTGTAGTTACTCACTTTTCTGGTGCTTTAATAAAGTCTTTATTGGGAAGAAATACACTAATTTGGTAGCCTTTAATAGTTGCTCTGCACAAATGTAAATGTCATGGGGAAGAACAAAGAAAACCAGTTCCCATGTTTTTTATTCTTTGAGAAAAGCATGCTTGGTGGTTCTTAACAAAGAGGGGAAGAAACCTGCTTATGAGGGGACACAAAATTCTCAATGCAGATAACCATTCCTGTTCCCAGTCCCCAACACATGACCTGGAAATGTGACTCACAAGCCACTCTGCAACTTTAACATTCGAATATTGCTGTTCCATATTGAGGTAATCGAATTTATGACTCTTTATTTTCATTTCAGATTTATCTTCCTTAGTTTTATTAAGGTTTTGATTCCTTGAGATCTTCTTCACTTTAATTTTCCAGTGATGTTTTCATTACTGTATGAATTGCTCTTAAAACTCAGGATGAAGAAATACTTCCCTTCGCCTTAAGAGCTCCTGCCTTGAAGGATTTTACCTGAACAGATACCTCAGATGATACTTAGCTGCAGGTTTCCGTCACAACAAACTGGGGGGCAACGCTCAAATTTTGGTTCTTTCAATATAGATGTTTTTTTCTGCTTCTCCTCTGAGACTGTTAAAAATAAGTCTGTAATGACAGCAGCTCTCAAACCAAAGAGAAATTGTTTTTCCTTATCTAGATGTCATACCACTTCATACTAAATCTGTCACTAGCACATCCTTGCTGCCCCCCTATGCCTCCAGGATGATAGGCTTTGTGATTAATAGGGAAAAAAAGCAGTCTTCTCCTCACCTCAGAGTATGGGAGTAAAAACAGGCTTAGTATGGAAAACACTTTGAAACAGAGGTGTATTTTTTTTCTCCAAACCTACTGGGCCTTTGCACAAGAAAGGAGATGGCTGGGGTTTTACTGCGGTCATGTATTATTTGCATTTCAAGGTGATGTATCATTCCTGAACCAAGATGATCACAAGGTGAGAGGCTGACATTTAACCTGGTTTCTTTGGAAAATTCAGTCTGCATGATGAGCATTGGAGTCACTCTCTGCCCTCTTCCTATAGCTTTGAATCTACTTTTCAGGTTCAGTCACTTTTGAACTTGAGTTCATGAAAGCTTAATGAAAACAGGCAGCTGGTTAAAGAGGATAACTGTGTTTCCTCAGCGAGGGAAAGGAGAAGCCCTGTCTATATAGTGTACTAGGGAATCCCCATGGGGGAGAGCTCTTATCAGGGCTTCAGAAGCAAGAAAAGCTTTGATCAGTGCTTGCTGCCAGAGAAGCCAAGATGCAACGCTTTGGGAAGGCAGGGTTCATTACTGTGCTGTAAATACCTCTTTTGAAATGGCTTCGTTCCAGCCTGTGGTTTGCGTGTAGCCGCTGTGAGTGGGTGAGTGGCAGAGCCTCAGCCAGGGCATCACCTCAGCTCCCACAGCTGCCTGCTCCCATGGGAGAGTCGAGTCCTTGTGCAAAATGTGCTGCTCCCTGTGCTTCTGTTTGTGGGGAGAGCCTGGCAGGAAGGCATGGCTAATGCTTTGCTTTGTAGTCAAGCTAGGTAGTCATCTGTAAAAACTGCATTTAACAAAACCCATTAGTGCCCATGGCTTCCTCCCTGTCTCTGTACATGAGGAAGCACTTAGGCAGAAGGGCAATCCTTTAATTCACAGGGAGAGGATACGCTGCAAGCACTCCTGCTCCAAGGAGAGCTGCTCACACAGATGCGATGCTGGCAGCTTCTGGTGTGTTGTGGGGACACTATTTTATCTTTACTTATAATAGAAGGGATAAAGTTGAATAGTAATAATGGGACTGATAAATGAAAGGAAAACTGTAACCACATAATTATGTCAGAATCAACTAACAGCCATGAAAAGCTGATTAAACCGCATTATGCAGATAGATGTAACAGAATACTATTAGTAAGTCCTTTGCAATGGCATGCCTGGCAATTAAGAGAGCTGTATTGGCAGCACACAGTGAAAACAGTGCTAATGTATAGTTAAAAATGTTTGGAGACAAACAGTGCACAGAGTACAGGGACAGCCTAGAACTGAATACAGGAGTGTCCTCAAAGATAACCAGCACGCAGGGGAAAAACCAAAGATGTTCTTCCAAATACACTGTTTGACTAGGATGTTGGTCATATTTATATTTACTGGGAAATTAATTTGCTGGGAAAATTTCCACAAATTTCAGCTTGTGCAGGCTAACAGATTGATTCCATTTTTTTCCCTGAATTAAAGAAGCTTACATAAATATTCTGATTTAAGTGGTAATAATATTAAGTAATGTTCCTGGGGTTGCAACTATTCAGTAAATATTTGGGAATGAGATAGCTCCGTGTTCTGTATTCGTATTTCAAGGTTCTGTGTGTTGTATTTCAAGGTCAGAGACCTGAAGAATGTGTCATCCATCGAGTTTCTTTCTCACTGGAATATTGGTATTTGTTGATTTCTCTCACCCACCACAGAAAGAGTCAAGGTTCAACTCTATCCTTCGCTTTCCCTCCTCTGCCCACTCTTGCAGAGCAGCTCTCATCTGCAGTCAGGGAAAATTGCACAGGAGCAAGCTCTGAGATAACATCAGTGTGGGGTTTAGAGTTCCCACAGGCTTTATAGAAAGATATGCTTCTGTCAGAAACTAGTCCATGTGACTGTGGAGATCTCATCTAAGGGAATAAAACCAGTGGGAATATTTTGGTGTCAAAGGGTGAGCATGCTGGAGAGTTCATATTCCCCTTATTTTCTTCATCATGTCAGGCAGACTTCTCAGGCAGGCTACCAAGAGAATTTGCTTGCAGAAAACCAATATATTTATCTTCCACATTGTTTTCCAACAGATGCATGCAGGTTTTCTTCTTGGTTTATTTTAGGAGATGATTGAACTAGTGTGAAATGCAGGTAACAAGAGGTCAATAGCATCCAGGCCCACAGCAGTGCTTTCCTGAACTATCTAAAGCAAAGTATGGGAGAGAATGCAGGTGTGGTTACACTTTGATTACCAAACCCAGGCAATACTTTCATAAATTAAATTTTGCCCATGATGGTAAGTACTAGGGATGTACAATTAATGAAATCTCTGCCAAAACAAGATTTATGATGACCAGGAGACGTGCCTTTACTTAAATGAAAAGTGAGACTGAAGAAGGCTAAAGAATTTAATTGCACTCTGATGTCTATGTTTACCTGGACTATGTTTCCTCATAATTTATATGTGAGATTATTGATGCTTACAGAGTACTTTTTGTGAGAGAAGAGTATCATTATCTCCCTTTTTACATGTGAAGAAACTGACACCCAGAAGTGGTACCCTGGGTGAGGTACTATATCATAGCAATGGGGGAGGTAAGAACCCAACTTTTTGGTGTCCTAACTGGGTATACTATTTACTGGATCACACTGGATTTAATAGCACAGTAAATTTAGCTACTAATAGTATTAAACTCCTGTTATTTCATCCTTTTATTTGAAGCTGGAGCATTATTCCTTCTCTGGCAGAGAAATAAGTTATTATTAATAATTCCAGTTCTTTCACCTTTTGCAGAACTCACAGAAAACAAATTCCTTCTGAAGAAAGAAGCTATCACTGATAGCAGTGTGTGCTCCTACATAAGCCAGAAGATAGGTTGCCTTTCCTCTAAATAAAATATAAAAATAGTAAATAAAAAACACTTTAGCCAAGAGTAGGAAACCTTGGACAACACCTATAAGAAACATGGTGCCTTTCTCAGATGGGTGTCACGCCAAACTTGTGTCCATCCATTAGGTGTGTTCTATTCTATTAGGACATGCAGCTCAGTCATACACTGAATGTACAAATCCTGTTACAGCTTTTGCCTCCTCTTGACTGTGAAGATATGGCTTATGTGTTTGCCTTTAGAAGAGTATTGTTAGGAGTGTTCTTGTGGTTGACTGTACTGCTGCTGAGCTCAAGACACACTTCTGGAAGATACCCCTCAGGCACTGCTGTATACTTCCACAGATCCATCAGCCAAAATATCACTAATGATACAACTTTTAATTTCACAGATGAAGGAACTTGGCGTCATCGTATACAACTGTAGCTGCCTGGTCCTGGATTTACAAAGGATATTTGCCCTGTATAGCTCATTAAGATACAAGAATAAAATACCTCCGAGTTGGTCTAAGAGGCTGTATGGAGTGTACGATACTCAAAATAAACTAACACTGCAGTTGAACGAGACAAAATCAGAAGCTTTTGTGTCGGTAAGTTCTGAAATGGGTTGTGGATAGGGAGGGAAAGGAAGAAACTTATTTAAGCCACCAGATTCTTGGGAGACCCAGAAATTTGGCAAATCACAATATTATTTTTTTCTTCTGTGACATTGTTCATACATGCAGTTTGGCAGGATTGATGATGCTGCAGGATTTCATTTGAGCATTATTCTTTTTCCCTTTCACGGTAATGTTCACCAATTTTCCACTTGTGTTCAAAAAATGACAGGGGGCCCTGCAAATTAGATTCTTTTATTTACACTAGTAGATAGACTGTGAATGACTTGGGAGTAAATGAGCTGTTAATCAGACATAGAAAATTATACACAATAAGTTTGATATCAGAGCTTGCATTTTTATCTATGTAATTTGTAAGGATTCACCCTGTTCCACTGAAAACTTTTCTACTTCTGTAGAAAATCATCTGCTTTAGTTTTATTTTTAAATGACGTTTTTAAACATCTAAAATTCAAGCAGTGATCCCCATGGAAGCACTGTGTGTGCATGTATTTTTAATGGAAAGAAATGGAGCAGTCCTCCAGCTCAGCAGTGATGTAGCAAAACTGGTAAAAAGTACACTGCAAGACAGAGATGATGAAAGATGTGGAATGTCATTTTGGAGGTAATTATGAGTATAAACAACCCCTTCAAAACCAGGAATATAACAAAGGTGCTAAGAGTGACTTTGCATTCTCTACAAAACAAGGGGCAAACCCCCCATTGCTTATAAGCAGTTATGTCTGAAACAGGACAAGGTGTGTCTCACACTAGTCAGTTGTACAGCCAGTAGCAAGCACAGGACACTGGTGCAGGTCAGTGATTATACAGGGCAGGGTTTACCTTTACCTGCTGGAGCCAGGCAGTATTCTGGTGTCCAGGATTTTTCATACTCCTGCAATCAGTGGAGAGACATAGAACTATTTTGGAATGAAAATCTGGAAATGCCTAAGACAGTCAGAATTAATAGCCATTTGAAAAAATGGAAGCTTCCATTGATTCTGGAGAATCTTAAGGACTAGCTTAAATGAGAAACTGACTTTTTTAACAGTTAGCTATTGCTCTGCAAAATGAAATCCTACTCCTTTCTCAGCAATCTGTAAGGAATGGAGAAATCCTGCTGCAGGGTAGTCCTGCAGAGGCACACAGAATGGAAAGCTGGTTTAGGCCAAGTTTAAGAAATCTGGGATCCTAGAAAAAGACAGGTGGAGAGAGATTCTACTGCTGCTTTTTTGCAGTTTGCAGAGTGTTCACTTCCTCCTTGTGCCTTGAATTTTCTTTTCTTGCGGGCAATAGAAGCCTTTTCTCTTGAAATTTCACTTCAGAAAACAAAAGGTACTGGTACTCAGAAGCTCAGATCAGTGAAGTTCAACTCCAAGAGCAACCTGAATTTGTAACTTGTAACCACAGTCACTTGGGATGGTTCTTCCTTCGTGAAAACACTGTCTTCAATAAATGTCTCACCTACTAGCAAATTCTAAATGTTTGCTAGCATGACTCTCTGAAAGGAAGTCCTGGAGTTGCACTGGGCTGACTTGGTGGACTAAATGTTTACATCGCTGACTGTTGCTGAACTAATGATAAGAAGGAAGTCTCCACAAGCCAGGAAGTTCCCTTACTGCCATCACTGTCCTCTTTAAGAAGTCTTTTGCTTTCTGGTGTTTATATTTAATGCACCGGAAAAAGACAATGCATAAGAATTCCTTAAGTTGCAACGGTTCTGTAACTTAAAAATTCAAGAAAATACTACAAGTGTTAAGAATAAAATCTCAGTGCAACAGCTTCCTAAAAGTTTCAGATAATAGGTATAAATTATATTTAACTTTTTAACTAAATTTATATCACTTTGCACTTATTTCTTGAGTTGAAATTCACTCTTTGAAAATATATTTCACTTTCTATGTTTGTGCTATAAAAACAAGCATAACACACAGTCACTGAATTTATTTTTTTTGTGCTCAGGAATCATGGCTTAGTGTTGCTTAGCAACAAAATCATCTTCCAGACTGGCTGATAAAGTGTAAGAGGTTTTGGTTTTTTCTTTTGGTGTTCAGGAATGGATCTGGAATATTGGTCATGAAATCTTCCTACAGTTAATTTTCTAGTATTTTCTGTACTTAGTTGTAGTAAATCCTTAAGAACATGGTCAGTTATTAAGAAACCACCGTGACAGGCCATGTATTGAAAAAAAGTAAGACTAATAAAAACTTCAGGATCTGTTCCTAAAGAAAACAAAGCAGTCTGGGTGTCAGCTGCCACCCAAGCAAGTAACAAGGGGAGAGGGTGATACACAAGCAGGAAGGCAGTGGTCTAGTAAGGTCAGCTGTTAAGAAAAGGGCAAGTGGCACCTGCTCCAGCTGGACAAAGTGCCTTCAACAATCTCTCTCCCAGGAATCTGCAAGCAGCTTGACAGATGGCTCCACTTTTCTCTCCCTGCTTGTGCAGAGGAGTAGAAAGTCCTGTGCCTGCCTGCCACAGAC